TTTTTATAATTTTTTATATTTTTTTTTTCAGAAATATCATTATTACAATTTCAATAAATATTAATAGTTGTTTCAACAGAAAAGAATTATAAAATTAGTTTTTATTCGAGTAGTGCCGATCTCCGTTCTAGATGTACCAGTTATCGACATAGAAATGATCCAGTAGTCGACAGATATGGCGATTACTCGAACGACTACGTGCTTCGGTGAACTAGTGCTTGTCACGTAAAAAAAACTATGAAATTTGTATGAAACAATAATTTGTACGTAAAACTGTGATCTCAATTTATAACTCGAAGCTCAATTTGCCTCATGCAAATTGCAAATACTCTAAAATCGCACGAGTATCAAACAGTGTCTTTTAACCTTAATGAAGCATTTGATTGAAATCACGCATAGGCTCGATTGTTGCACATATTCGATTTAATCAATAGTAAATTGATATATTTAAAAGTTTTATAATGTAAACACAATATTGTAAATATTTTCTTGGAACCAATAAAAATATCAGCAAATCTGACGATTAACAAAAAGCACTAAAATACATCTTTAATACGTGAACTACCTTATGTTTCATTTTTTTACTTATATTTTATTCATATTTTACATATTTAAATTTATCTACCAGAATTCACGATCAAAAAATCTACTACGCCTTTAAAATCCATCATTGCTGACGAAAGATGTAATTTTTATAAATATACATTTCGATACTATAAACAAATAAAAAGATTTAAAAGATTTTACTGCATTAATTACTATAGTATTGATATTCGTAATGTTTTTCATATGCATGATATTCGCAGAATTTTAATATTTTATACAGAGTGTATACGATAAATGCCTCCGGTAACAGTAAAGTAACAAGAAATAAAAATAAATACGGACACGCGTATTTCTTGATATTTTATTATAAAGAAGAGTTTTTTTTATAAAAAATTACTAAACTTTCATAGGAATACCTTTAGTGGCACGAAGGATATTGAGAAGCGAATATTCCGCTTTACGCCAAGTGTGCTGAAGTATGTCATTAGTTATAATGCCAATGGTGGCCACAATTCGGTTGAGCAAAATACTCACGTTCAATATGTACCTTGATGAAGTAAACTAGGAACGGTATTCATAGTCGAACCTTATATTAAAGACCGTCTTAAGTACAGTCTTAAGATGTCATAAACCAATCAGAGAACCGTATTAGCACATCTTAAGGCAGTCTTAAAATAAGAACGGACTATGAATACAGACAGAAGAAGTAATTCAAAAGAATGATATATAGAGGAGAACAAAGCCAGGATTCTTTCGTCTGCTCATGTGGAAGTTTAGTAATTTTTTGTAAGAAATTTTTTAAATTGTTCTTTAATAAAATACTTAGAAATCTGTGTGTTTATTTTTATTTCTCATCATTTAAAAATACCGAAGAGATATCATGTACTTATATTTTGTATTATGATTGTGCTGAAAAATTTTGTCAATCACTAAAGGTTTCAAGAATTTTTATAATAAAGAATATCTTCTCAAAGAATATTGTCTCTTTGTGAGTACAAAGCTGTAAAATTTTCCAGATAAATTCCAAGAGTATATTGAATTTATACAAATATGTATATGTAAAATAATATTTCTTCTTTTTTTGTGCAATAGAAATTATCTTTAAAATCCAACTTCGAAATTTCTAGCAAAACTTGATATACCTTTACGTAATCGTTTGAGTTTAGAAATGCAGCTTTGTACACGTATGGAAGATTTCCACTTCTGTCGCAGAACGGAAACCACTAAACGAGAAGGTCACAGAAATGGACTGAAAGCGGAAAGGAGACACCATTTGGTCATGACAATCCGAGTTTCAAAATTGTTAATCTATAGTGCACATTCTGATCCAAAGTCTCTCGGTTATAAGGGAACTTCATTTCGCTTTGATAAGTGTCGACGGAATCTTCTTCCTTTCAAAGCAGGTGAAAGAGAGAAAGACTATAATGATGGCACACGTGTGCACATAAAGGACGTACTCACCGTTGAGAACGTGAACCGCGACGGTGGTCTTGGCTTTGCCGGGCACCATGCAGCTATAGTTTCCTGCGTGTCTGGGACTGGCTCTCTCCACGATGAGAGTACTGACGATCACAAGGACCTCCTTGCCCGCCGAGATCTCTGTCGTTCTGTTCTCGCTAGAAACGAGATCGAGCCGTGAGTTTCTATCCACATTTCTCTTTCCTGTCTAAGTCATGTATCATGTTGATACACAAGCTCTACTCGAATATACAGAATGTTTCTATGTTTCTTTGACTATGAATTCTTTAATATGAAATCTATTTTTTATTTTAAACAGTCGATAGCATAAAAATTTTTCTTAATATCATTTTATTACACAAATTTATTACAAAAATTTAAATAAATAAATAATCTTAAGAATTTAAATAAATAAATAAACTTAAATAAATAAAATTTTCTTTCTCTGCAAAAGAGCATTTTCTTTTTCTCTACTCCTTGAATTAAAATTTTTAATTAAATTCTAAAATGTTACATTTTAAGTATCTTTTCAATTTTCAAGTTAAAATATAATGTTCTAGTAAATAATTAAAATTATATTACGCATTACTACTTCTATGAACATATAATTTGAAAAGGACAATTTTTTATACATTATATTGAGTTGAAACAATAGTTCGGAGCATTACAAACTTTAAAATTCGAGCAGCTGTAATTTCATTAATTAAAAATGAATAAAATTTAAATGAAAATAAGTTAAAAATGTTATATTCTAAATTAGACACAATACAAGATTTCAATATCTATTCGTTCTTCTAAAAAGTAACTTTTAATAATTTATAAATTTAATTCTTGTTATTCATAGATTATCATCTTGACATTTTTATTAAGAAAATACTGTATATAAACTTACAAAAATAAAAATGCTCAGAACTCTGTATATTTACGTTATTATTAAGTAACTACAAATAAGAGAAATGGATATGATTTCATTGAGTGAACGTATTATAGAATGCGGTTGAAGAAATTGCTAATCTGCTGCATGCTGATTTAGACCAGACGTTACCTGCCGATTTAATTAAGAAACTCATTTCAGGATTGAACGATAAATTTATCGCTTGAGAGCATATATTCGAATATAATAGAATTTATATTTTGCAGACAAATATAATTGACAGATAGCTTTGTTTTCCTACTTGGGAATATCTCAAAACGCGTAAAAATTTTTATTTCTTCATACATGAAAGATTTCTAAAATTTGGTTTTTTACTTATATAATCATAATTGATTACACAAAAAGATTGTTCCTTAAAATTTCAAAATCTTCAACTTTACAAGTATAATTGAACATTTATGTCTGTTTATATATGATGTCTCTGGATTTAATAAACAAACTACAGGATCATAATTTATAAGTGTAATTTAAACAATATATACAGTTTAGGTAGAAATGCTTTATTACAAAGTTATAAATAAATATTGTAACGGAACATAAAATAGGAAACAACGGATTTTCTATTGCGCAGAATATGAAAATACACATTCCGTGTATGGAAAGGTCGAACATGTTTATCTCGCGTGTATATTCGCATCATATTTACTATCACTAAATGTAGTATTATTTCGACCTATGCGTGAATATGATATTCAGCCCCTGAAACAACAGCTATGCTTGAGAAGAATAGCTGTTAGACTTTTATCGTCATGAAATAGCAACAGTTCAAAATGCCAATATTTTATCAAAATCATCAAAATGTTTTATTTATAACTTTGCAATAAAGTATATTTCTAACTAAACTTCATATAACATTTTCTTCTATTATTTTTATTTGTAAAATATATGTAACTGCTCCTGCAATTTGTTCGTTAAATTCTGAGATATTCTGTACATAGAAGTAAAAATAAATATATAAAAATTCTTAAAACTCTATTAAAAAAATGACATATAAAAGAACTTAGAAATCTTTTTCCAAGACTGATATCAAACATTATTACAACAACACTGTATCGTTCAAACGTATATCTCACACTTTTCTTCGTAAATTCGATATCAGGCTGTCGATATGAAGTGTTTATAGAGTACACAAAGATGTTCGCTCCTACGTGTGGGGGAGAAATTGTAGAACTGTAAAGTGGGGTACGATCATGTTTGCGCCGAGCGTGAATATTCGCCTATATTCCAAGCGTGTATTTTAACGCCTTACTGCTCCGAGTTTCTAACAGAAAATCTATGAAGATTATTATTTTTAGTATATGAATAAAGTATTTCAATATTTTATTTTTACAAAACTGTGTGCGTTAATAAAAGAATTTATATCCAGATATATGTATAGCCTATATAAAAAAATAAAAAATGTACATATTTTCGAATAATTTTTATAAATATCCTTTTTTTTAACCTACGATCAAAAATAAGAATAATATGATCTTTTAGCTTATGTACAAAAATAGTATAAAATTTTTAGATATCCCAATTATCATTATTGAAAAGGAACAAAAAGCAGAATGTGAAAAATCAAGAAAGCGGTGGAATAAGAATTCTTCGCTTTTTTTTGGAAATGTAGATTTTGAACAAACCTCGAGACACTTATCTATTCTGTCACAATTCAATAATTAAAAATCTTATACTAGAACTTCAATAATTAAAAATTTTATACCAGAACTGTAGTAGAATCATTCGAGAAAATCTACAAAAAGTCGTTCTCTTTTCATAAGACTGAGCAGAGGGTATCGTGTTTTCGTAATCGATTCTAATAAAAAAAATCGATGAGGATATTTTTTTTATCAATAACTATTTTATATTAAATCCATATTAAAATATTTTATAAGAAATCCAGATTTTAAACCAAACAATATAAGAATATTTTCGAGATTTCTAATAAAAGATTTTTATAGACTTTAATTGTCACACGTATAAAAAAAATTCATAGTTGTCTTCACACAATCTTCTTGAATCTAGCACTATTAAATACAAAGATAATCATAAAAATATAAGATGTTATTTATCAAAAAAATGTTATTCGTATATATTCATATAAATAATAAAAAAATGATACAAAGGATGGAGAAGAGAGTGAATATAGATAGCATTTTTAAAGGTATACAGATAGCATTTTTTAATGATAAATGCGTTACTGAATAGTCTAGGAAAAACTTATTTTCTGAAATAATACAATCTAAATAGAAAAAGTGATAGAGATCGCAACTATCCCAAATTGAAAATAAACGGTCGCAATATGCCATGATGGTTTGTTCCAAGCACTTACCTAATATCTTCTGTAAGCGTCTCATCTCCTCTAGTCCAAACGACGGACTCGTTGAGCGACTCGAGCACGTCCCTCGCCTCACACCTGAGCCTGAGGACACTGCCTGCCTTTAGATGCCTTTCCTTGGAAACTATACGTCCAGAATCATCGCTAATCGTCAGAGTTGGCGCTGTGACATAGAACATAAGTAGTCAGCATTGATTGTTGGTTAGAAATATATTCTAATTGCTCGGTAATTCAAATAAATTTTAATTTGAATTCTGATAAAATATTCATATAGTAAACGTGACTGCTTTTTAACAAGCAACGTTTGCATATAGTTAATAAATATGTATGTATTCTTTTAGTTAATATTTTGTATAATTTGGACTTAAACAAATTCAATTAAAAAGAAAAAGTACCCATACAATTTTTACATACACAATTTTTATAACAATTAAAGGATGTAAATTTCCGTTATACTGATATCAATACTTTTCATTAAATCAAAATCTGATAAAATAGTTACTGCTTTTTCAGAGATGCTAAAGGCATCGCCGTCTCTGAAGAAAACACCCGTGAAAGTCTCAAAAGTATTATCAAGTTGTTATTTTTCTCAAAAATGAGAATAACTTGATCGTAGAAATTGAGTATATTTTTCCATTCAAATAACAGCGCAAGTGCAAAATACATCTAACAAATGTCGGCTATAGTTATAATAGAAACATGATATATATGTCAATCTCATTCATAGACAAATGCGAAAAAGCACAAGAGAAAAATTCACTGCAACCCCATGCTTTTTATTCGGAAATTCTTTACTAAAAGAAGAAGGATGTGGTGCATAACACTTGGCATATAACATCTACTTCCGTTTCAGTTAGACGAACGCGAAAGCAAAACGCATCGACCTGCGGTTACATCATCCATATCGATAAAAGCTGTCGACAAAAAGCTTTCCCTTCAATGCTGGACGACTGCTTGCGCGCGAGTTTTCGAGGGAATTGGGAACGGATTATTCGTGACCAGATGCGTAAACGCTCGAAAACGTGCGCCGACTTTTCTCTCGTTTGCGAAGAATCGGCACGTTTACGAAAATAGTCTCGCAAACGAAAGAGCGAGCCTGTAGTTGAAATTCAGCACACCCGTCCGACAACGATTCTCATGTCGACTGCTATGAAAATTTGATGATATCAACTCACTCTCGATACGTTTTTCGTTCTTTCTCCAATCGTTTTTGTTTCGTCTATACATGTTATTGACTTTTGTACGCTGTAAATAGCAGTTGATAACATTATGTATTTAAATGGTAATTTTACAATAAATTCTACGTTTCATAAAGATTTTTAAGAAGTTAATAATTTAATGATATTATAATTTAATATTTTAAAGATATATATAAGGATTATAATTTATTAAAATTCAAACATCTCCACCGGACATATAGTACATTGGAAATTATAAAATTCATTCAATATTTTACAATAATATTTTAACTCATTTGATTATATTTTTTTATTTCTGTAATATATTTTATTATGTTTATTTAGATAAATTTGTTATATTTTAATTATACTTATTAATTTTATTTTGATTAAATTTACAATACATTATGATGCAGCAAAAATCAAATAAAATATAATACCAACCAATATGTTGTTACGATTTTTAGAACTTTTGTCTTATAATGTAACGTTTCTCAACCCATAAAATACATTACAAATCTTTATATTCTTACATATCGAATTATATTAAACATTGTAAAATTAAATTAAACATAGACTAATTATTGTACAATATAAATTAATTATAAAATTCTTACTCGCATATGAATTAAGTTTGAGATTAACTTAATATATTTGTATGAGATAGAGTAAAAAAATGAATAAAAAAATGAATAAATTCAAATGAATAAAAGAAAATTTTTCAATTATTCGTTATAACTTCAATAATTCACAATAAAAAACTCACAAGAATTTTCGATCGAGCTTTCTCTTCTTTAGTTAAATGAACGAGAACTCTTTAAGTACATAACATAAAGGTACGTTTTTAAGAATAAATAACCTGTTTTAATGAGGATTAATATCATATTTATTGTTAGTTAATTCAATCTTTAATTTTCCATATTCTCTCGATATTAATATCATGTTATCAATATTAATTAAAATACTAACAAGATGAAATGAGTCGAATATGAAGAGTTCAACGAATAAATTAAAATCCAAAGTTTTAGATGACTGAATCGTTTATCAAGTGAAGATAACTTAATACGATTGGTTACGTAAGTATGAGTTACAGTAGGATACTTTTAACGCACTTGCTGAAACACTCGGGCAATCCCTTGATTAATGTCCGCGATACCGATGATGCGACACGACGAAACCACTTAGGATGAAATGAAGCTGTCAAGCAAGAGACTCAACTCAATACATGAGTGCCTTTGTGCCGGTAAAAGCGAGAATTCGAAAGTTAAAGGGACTCGGTGGAATGGGCTTTAACTACCTGATGCACTTTGGGGGCCAGATGGACTTTATGCTGAACATGACATTCCCATAATTTTGAATATTCTTATACAAAATTTCAAAAGAATTTACTTACTTGAATGTTTACAAATTGGATATTAAATATATAATATAATGTATTTTTAAAGTTAAAATTCAATTTACTTATAAAACAATCTTAAAAATTAAAAATTTCTAAATTTCTAAATCTTTATTTATATTTAATTTAAATTTGATTTAAAAATAATTAAAGGTAAAAAAATAAGATAATTTAAAAATGTCATAATGTTGTGTAAATCCAAAAATCTCACGATTTGTAGTTTCAATGATTGAATGTATGTGATTGAAAATATACAAATCAAATGTATACAGAAAAATTTATAGGATAGATCGAGACGAATTGGATAAATGTAAATTTTGAGACAGTTAGTCGATATTTGTCGTTGATTTTATTATTTTTTTAATTCAAACGAGCTGTTTTTGAAACAAAAAAGTAATAAAATTATCGACAAATATCAACTGTCTCAAAATTTACATTAATGCGATTCGCCCTGTAATCCAATTCGACTCGGCCTACTCTATACATACAATTCATAAATTAATAACACTAAAATTTTAAATAATAAATATAAAAATAAACATTTTGTAATAACTATTATCTTAGGAAAAGATATTTTAGGAAAAGCTCGTAAAATAGATTTAGCAAGTACGTTCGATACTAATATTATTAGGAGATATGATGGGTGCTTTCACACAAATGGATTACTTAAATAAGATAGATAATTCATCATGCAATGAGCACTTAACAAACACTCCTCTAATTGATCACAATATGTCGTAGATAAAAAATGATATACAATATAATTATTGTAAATGCAACTATCGCGAACTTGCTGAAAATTTAATATTCGTATCTTTTTTACAAAGAAAATATAAAATATTTATTGGCAATTTTAAAACTATTTCATAATTAACAATTACATTTTTATAATTGTTTAGATGTTTAATCATTAATTAATATAAAAATTGTCAATATATATGTGACAAACTTTTAATAAGACTTTTATTTTATACTTTAAGAAATAAAGAAATATAGAATATAAATTATTATTATTTTAAAAATATATAAATAGTATGTTTAAATAATATATTTAGTGTATTTATATTAATACTTTAATATCGTATAGTACGATATTATTCTTGAAGATAGCCTTCATATCTCTTAAGAAAAATAAAGCTGGCAATATAAATAGATTTTTTAATCTCTTACAAGGAAATGATCAGAATTGTCTATCATCGAGTTTAATGGGCTTTGGATGTATTGTGAAGCATAAAAACGATTATATACATTTTTTTTATCAGTTTATCTTATAATTTAGGAGTCAAAACAATCTCTGGGAGTGGAAATAAATTAAAAAATTCAACATTTTCAAAAAATATGAACGTATTGTTATTAAAAGTATAAAATATATTATAAAACTTTTTTATATGAAATATTTTTCCGTATATCTCATAATTTCAAAGATATTCTCTGAACACAAAAAATTAGTTTCGAGGGATTGTTTCGACTCTTCAATCTTGAAATAAGCAGATAAAAAAATAATGGGTTTAATATTTTTTTATGCTTTACAACTCTATAATACCTAAAGCCTATCAAAATTAGTAAGGAATATTCTGACTTCTATATTAAGAAATATTCCAAACTCTATATTATGAATTTAACGGATCTAAATTAAAAATATAGATTCATGAAGAAATTCTTCCTGTATTTTGGCAATCATAAAATATCTGTATGAATTATTCAGCATTTTTTTTAAACATGATGATATCCGTAATGGCCAAGTAATCACATCTCTATTCATGCATCTAATGCGCGGATTCAAATTTCGATTAACGTTCACACACCGTGCTCCGGATTCAGTCTGGCAAATAATCTCCGTGCGAACGACGGCTGTCATTCTCACTCGCCGTTGGAAACTACCATTCGCGGCCGTTCACGGCTTCTTTTTTAAGCTTAAGTAATTACGTAATATCTTGCTGTCGTTGACATTTTCTAACTCGCTCGACGTTAAAAGCTTCACGGGATATTGACAGTTCGGTTTGCGCGTGAACGTTTTTGGGGAAATCTTCTCTTCCGATGAGAACAGACGCTGCGGAATTCGATGGAGAATTTAATCCAGTCCCAAACGGAATTGAGAGAGAAAAAGATTGAGAGAAAAGAATAAGAAAGATAGAGAAAAGTAAAAGGAGAAGAGAGAGGTCGGCAGAAGAACTGCGCGCACGTCTATAATTTCTTTTGGCGGATCATTTTTTAAGCTCCTTTGGGACGAATAGTTAGAGAGGAAAAGGGCGACGAATGTAGAGGTGGGCAATCGGTCGTTTGCTCCCTGAGGAAAATGCCGAAGTCGAAGTTGCCAGAAGGATAGTATTATTTAAATTGGATTCCCCGATTCTCCGCGCGACTTCGATCTACCATCCGCACTCGAACTTCGTCACTTTTTCGTTCCCACGAGTTTACGCGCCGCTTATTAAAATCCCTCATGGCAGGGATGGAAACGATTTCAGAGAGACATTGGGGAAGTGCAGCCGCCAGTACTTTAAAGTTTACTCTTTATCTAAAACTTTGTGTTGCGAGAAGATGTCAAAAAGATGTCATAATCTTTTAGCGAATCTTAAAAAGACTTTTATA